AAGGCATTCAATACGGGTAATAGTGGCTAATCTTTCATTCTCTTCATTGTAATATAAAAAAGAATAGTTTTAGGTTAGGCAGGTATTGTTCGGGACGGGCGCAGAAAGAGATATTAAGTAAAGAGATAGTGGAATGTTGGTTTAATAGATACTATAGGTAGTGTCACATGTAGCAGAGTACTTCGTCGTGTGCAACGTGACTAGTGTAAATTAGGCAGTAGGTACGTCGAGACAGCAATCGAGTGCGTGCAAAAAACAATTAACATGAAAGCGGATCAGTGGTTCATGAGCTAATAATCGCACAAATCATTGAATAGACAAATAAAGAGTTACTTAAGGCTATAACAAATAAAAACTAGCATCAACATACTATACATATTACGATATAATTCAGTAAGAATTTTGTAATAGTACGTTACGTATCACAATGCCAAGTAAACGCGCAGTACTAACTTCGATTCTTCCGGTTTTTTTAAGGGTGACTAATGCAAGCTACACGTGACCAAGATTACTAGCATTAATTATTTCACATCTACATTTTTATAACAGTTTAAAAAGAAATAGCATGCAAGAGTATTATTTATGTTTGTGTACAAAAACTTATCAGATCTTATGACGAATCAGAAAAAGTCATAAAATAAATGGGGTTATGTATTTCTTATTTGTGTAATACCATTAAGATCATAAAAAAAACAACGAGGTTTGAATGTGGAGATATAAATAGACAGCCAAAACGTTAACGATGCCAATTACTGCGATCATGGTCCGCGGCAGCCATGGCGATAATCTTTGTACCAAAACTAAAATGAAATCGTGCCAATGAACTTGGATTTGGTTTTCGCGATGAGGGCGTTGATGTTAAAATCCGGCAAAGTATAAGTATACGTAATAATAATAAAGTATGCCCGCCTAGTGTAGGATGTACTTATCTGTTTTTCTAAAGGTAATTTCGTGACTATTGAAGTGACTAGTAGACGTATAAGTTTATTTATATTAGGTATAACCTTCAGTAGAAAAGAATCAAATAATTCTGCATCAATTCGATTACAAAGACAGGAATTAGAATGTGTCATTTGAAATACACATTTTTTTTGTTACATAACTATGTAGTATGTAGTGTATTCGTATATTGTCTGTTGCACATACTGTTATCATAAAGCAAATAGTGGTATAGAAGGCACTTCACAAATTGTAGTTTTAATATAACTTTATATTTATTGTTGTACATATTTTATTTACTATTTTACTTTATTGTTTACAAAAGAGCGTCTTACAATATGATGGACATTATTGTCGGTTAAGGTTAATTTCATCATCCTCGTCATCAACAGCCCTTAATAGTCATCTGGTGGACATAAAACTCTCCTTAGAAAGGTATTAATTATTTTAGTAATGAGTGACCCACGTTACTAGAACTCTCTTTCTAATAAATTAAAATTAAGCGGTTATTGATATTTATTTATTAGTTTTCTTATGATGCCAAATTGCAGTGGTGCGAAATAATAATTTATGTGCAGCCCAAAAAGAGATAAACGAAAGCTTTTTTTTCTATCCGATCACTCATGACACTATTTTTTATAAAGTCCTTCATACATAAGATAAAATAATACAAAGTTGCCATCTAACAAGTGTTATAGGTACACTGTACTCGAAGGTCTTAAGCAATCAGACAAATGAATGACACCGTTCTACAATTACGGAAAAATACAATAAATGTATGTTCGTTATCATTGTCTGAATGATCTGATACATGTATTAAAAAATACTTATACAGTATTACATAAACGTTTATGTTAGATAGAAGACATAGTTCTGACAATGACAATCTTCACGCTTTGTGAAAATCAAAAGGTGTCACTGAAACGGTAAAGTTTTGTGCGGGTATCGGTTATTAGCCTAGATTCACTCAATTGATACAATCGAAACCGAAATACACGTCTGCAACTCAGGAGTCACAAACGCGTTGCCGGGCCTTTTAGGAAGGAGTACGCTCTTTTCTTGAAGGTTTATCTATAAAATAGCAGAATTGGGACCCTGCTCGTTTGCCCGCTACATCACAAAAACTTATTTCCGTACTTTAAAAAGGTACTCTGATAGGATTACTTTATTATTTGTCTTTCTGCCAAGACCTTTTTCTCAGAACCGTATGGATATATAAACTTGAAATAGACATCAAATAGTTATTTCTGCGGTAAAGATGTAAAAAATCAACTGGACGAGAAGCAAGGCTGAATGTATGTAAGTAGTACAAATAAGGAAAAAATCTGAAAGTCGTTATCTTGAAACACCTTTTCAACTGCAGACGTATATATGGGTTACATATATACATGTATGGGTTACAATTTTTGGAACAACAAAGTTAAGTATGAAAGTATCTGTGCACATGTCAGTACTCGCAATTGTCTAGCTTTGTATTTTAATCTAGTTTAGCAAACAAACCTCTTCTAGAGTTTTGGCAAACATTGAGTTTGGCTAAAACATAGCGGTGATATGTAATCAAGATGATGCAACACACCCACCTTCTGTTATAATTTTAGTGCTCCTTTATTTACATTTACAATAAAAATATTTAACATTTAAGTGTTTCGTTTATAACAAAATTATAATAAATATCCAGTTATTTATGCAAAGTTATTAGCGATTTAATAATCAAATCTGTTAAACATCAATATTCTAGTCATTATGTCTATATGGATGTGGTTGTTCATTTACATTGTATCAAAAATTCTGAATAGATTTTTGTATTATTCATTATAATGGTCTTCATACTTTACGTAGGTGTACATTGCTAATGACGCTGTTGGCTATTGGCGCTGAAGAATGTCAATTATGCGCAATAATCTATTTGTCAGGTACAGTAGATCATGTAGGGTTACATACTATATCTGTGTACCACCACGAGGCCAAAAGACGCACAGTAGCGACACGTGTACGAATCTTAACAGACATAATGTCGCCGTTATCGAACATTTATAAAACTTTTGCATCAGACCTTAGATTGTTAATCAATGAAATAATTTAACAAATTCATTACACTAAAACATTTTCAGCTGTGTCGATTATAAATTATAAACATGAGTTACGGTAACCTTTGCGTTGAGTGTAATGACCTTTAAAATGAGATAAAATTAACTTTGGCTTAACATTAAAATAAAAAAATGTATCTACCTAAGTCATTGCTGTATTCGGTAGTACAGACAGAGTTACAACTTTACATGAAATAATATTATTGTATCCTGTTTCAATATGAACAGAATTAGAACAATGCGCTATTTATGTTTTGTCTAGTGTTTTGAAAATTAACAGACCCCTTATTTACATTTTACGGTTTAATAGACCGCTTTAATAGAGGTCATAAGGCCATCATAGTGCCATTGGACACGAAGCTACGTTAATATGATAACCGCGTCAAAGGTCTGCTGTACACTCCACGGATTTACACTACGGAGATAACAATTAATACACTGTCTATGTCGTTATCTTTTAAAGTAATATTTTTGTTGTAATATCACCTTGACCTGTTACGGCAAAACTGCGCATTAACGTGTACCGTGGAATACTAAGATAGTAGAAGGGGACTACTGATATTTGGGTCAACGAAATCAAACGAATTTGAGTAATCTGTGCGACACTAAGATATCACACGCCGTCTGCGTGGTAGAGCCGAGTACTATTTATCTAATGCGTAGTAACCTTGATGTGGATCCACACGCAACGCACTGGCCATGCGGAAGCCTATGTGGTTCTCGACGGGCTAATAAAAAAGCTGAATGATAAAAACTTCGGACTATATTGTCACGTCTATTTTTTTTAATACATCATAGCATGGGTATAATGTTAAACCTATTTCGTTCAAATCTAAACGATAACTCTTTAGATTAATTAATTTTTTTTTAACATATTGAATTATAAAACTTAACTAGGAACTTCTGAATTGATATATTTAGCATGTGATTTAAAATCAGTTTCTTTCTACCAGATTTAAGTGTGTTTTTGTTAGAATGATTCATACCGATGGTTTCAAAATAATTTTATTTTGACGCACAAATCAAAATTAAATATCTCTTTTATATGGATAATCATCGGTTGTTTCCTCAATATGTTATTAAATTACACAAAGTAGTGTATCAGGTTTAATTTAATTTGCAACGGTCAGTTCGTTTTAATAACTATTATTTCTTATCTATCAGAGAGCAGCCTGTGCCTCTGTCCACATACGTATAGAAATAATTCATACATTATTTATAGAACAATCCTAGAATACTAGTTTTATTATTTATTTAGTGTTTTTAATTAAAAATAATCGGTAAACTACTAAACTTCTTATATGACATGAATAATATCGGTCTAAATCAGGGCAGGCCATTACAGTGCCGGTGCTTGACATCACTGCAAGGAACAAATCATCAATAAATAATTATTGATGATTTGTTCCAGTAAATATTGTTAAAGGCTTTTCATCAAACACTAAACGGTACGTTTTTTAACGCTTAGAGTTGTACACAAACTTGTTTCATTTAAAGTATACATATAGCATATTAAAACGGTAGCATTTGGTTGATAACGACATTGCAGACGGTGAAACTGGCTTTTAAAATAAAATCTTGGACTGTATATAAATTGCGTGTGTTATTAGTAAACTGTACTGCAATTAAAAAAGTGAAAGTTATCGATTAAGCTATGCAGAATGTAGGAATATTAGTTTGTAATGGGTTGATCTGATAATGTTTTACCAATCTAGAAATGGTGATAATTAAAATGATCAATATACGAGCACATGTGTACGATAAAAGACTGAATACTGAGTGTGTTTAATTTTTAACAGTTCGGCAACTTTGATAATACACGTACTTGTGAAATTATTTTCGTATAATATTTAAATAGAGATTAAAATATGTTAAAAAAATGAATGGAAATCAGGAAGTATTAAAAAACTGTACCTACGTTAATCATCATGCTTACTTTACATAAAATTTGCAAGATTTTGAAATTGATAATACCTATTTAATTTGAAATTTAATAAGTATCGAATATCCTACTGAAACGGTATTATTCTCTACCGGGAGTTGTTTTAGCCGCTGTTTAAGAAATATAGCTTCGAGATCCTGTTTACAAAACGAAAAATGTCAATATTTGATAAATCCTTCAACATTTACGCGGACGTTTTGGTTTAACCATGTAGTAAAGTTTTGGCTTGCTAAATTGTACTGAGTACAAAACTCGCATGGTCTGTGAAACGAGCAATCACCACAAGCCTATCAATTCGGCAAGATGTTCCGACGAAAAGGCATTAAACTCTAAATGGATGACTCACGTTCGCTAACAAGCGCAGTGTGTACACTTTCCGACAAACTTTATATTTACAGGCATAATATGTCGCATTTTTCGCTTGTGCTATATTATATCTGAAAATTTGTCATTTTTGAGAATGCCAAAAGCATCCGTTTCCCTTTTGGGATTCAATTACGGGTGCGGAGGCTTGTTACTGAACTAGTTATGGAATTCTTATTTCTTTGTAAGAAGCTCTGATAGACAGAAGGTTATATCTAAATTCGATGAAATCGTAACCTATTTATTCCTTTAGAAATACATAAATACTACGTCAACTAATATATAACTTACCTCCATGACGACATAGACGAAGGCAGGACTGTCCATACAGTCGTGCATGGCAACAAGGTTTGTGTGATGTAGAGCCGTTAGTTCACGTAGAATTTTTATTTCCTTTACCAGGATCTCTGAGGCTTTCTGAATTCCTTTTTTTGTTACTACTTTGACTGCTACTGATTGGGATGGATTCTGAAAATAAAGTAAACAGGTGATTCACACGTTAACTGGTGATTTTTTTAGTTCTAAATATTATTCTTAAAGTCTGGATGAAACTGTTCTCGTGTTTGTGGCAAAGATTGAGTAAATGATAACTCAGAAACTGACTTGCTTCTGCGCGCAATACTAAAGAAACTTAAATAAATTCAATACTTGATAAAACAAGCAAAAGTGAGTCAGAAACTGACTTGTAAATAATATATTTAATTGTGTATGTATATGGAGATTTTAGCGTTAACGAAAGACCGATACAAAAAAATTCTGGTAACATTTTCTAGATTGTAGCGGGTGGAAACGGTCGTTATGATTGGAGGCCGTTCAAGCTAGTTACTCAAAAGGCTACCTAAGTGCAAACTAGAAAGGATGAATGAGACCGCCGTGTAGCTACAGCTTTAATCGAATTGAACCAGTATCGCTACAAACGTTATCAACTGTCACAAATTAATACAAAGCGTATGCCCTAATTAAAATCAATTTGAGGCCAAGTACACATGCATATGTACATGAACTTACATGAATAATTATTTTTAACCTAACATTACTCAATAAATATGCACGATTATAATGTTATGCTTTACTAATATTGTTATACTAAACTGTTTAAATGTAGCGAATACCTAGAATTCTAAGAAATGTTTACTAGTAGAGTAAAACGATAACAAAAAATAATAAAGCAATTTAAAAGTTCTATTTTATCCAAAAACGAGGAAGTTCATTCGTTAAGCGAAGTTTTGTAATGAATCGGTATATGTGTAATACTGTGGTAAACCTATTGCCGCAGTATCTGATGCGGTGACAAAATAGATGTTAGGACCCTCCTGACTATGAAAAGTTAAAATTACCTTGATTTAGAATACTTAATAATTTACAGGTCAATGGCAGAATTCTCACTAAATATACATTCTGTGACCTCACTGAATATTGTTATGTCCAAAAATCATTTCGCAATGATACAGTCAATTTAAGGTGTTGAAAATTTGTAATTAAAAAACTGAAATATGTGTCAATTTTCATTACAAGATGCTTTTGTAAAATGATAATGTAAGTGCAGTGAGCGTTATAAGAGGACGTCTCGTTGCAGGTGGGCGCATTCATCGCATGTGTGCACCAATATCTTTATGGCTCTGTCTCTATGACAATTACGTTACGTTGCTGAGTGTGCTCGCTTACATAATGAATATGTATGAGTCTGTGGCTTAGAAATAACTTCCTATAAAATAAAATAAAAACAATCTAAAAACGATATGACAACATTGAAAGTTATGACACAAATTATTTAGAATAAAAACCTTTCGAATCAAAATGTTTTTCTTTCGCCTTTTTTCACTGCTTGTATATCTCATTGTGAAAAGAATCATTTTAAAAATAAAAATAATAATTTATAAAATATTTATAACTAGCTAGTGCAACCACAACTAACATGTACTTTACAGTAGCGTATTACACTATATGATGTATGATGATGATATATATTTCAAATTCGGGGAATGGGGCGAAATGGGAAATGAGAACAAATAGTTTCTTATAATCAACAGCTGCTTACACACACAATACACTCAAAAATCCTCAAACCTTCAAGGATTAGAAAAGACTTGAATTTTGACTGTTAAACAGAAACGCAGAAAATGTATTGTTGTATTCTAGAAACGCGTGATCAAGTTTTTTTTATTTTGGTTTTTCCGTTCAGCAGTTATGAAGCCTAAGAGACAGACAGACTCACAAATATACAGACCTTGAACCTATCACACCCCTTCTTCTCGCGTCATGGATTCAAAAGTACCGATTATGTCTTTGTTTAAAATTTAATAATAAAACACTAATAACCTTCCTTACGATTATTTAGAGTTGACGCAGAATTACAAGTCTATTAGGAGTATAAAGTCAAGGCCATGAATGACTAATGACTAATAAATATGTTTATAAGGTATCGACAGTACTTCCACATGCAAAACGATTATGTATAGTGATTATCTGAAGTGAATTGAACTATATACCTGACGAAGCACGATTTAGTACTGAAATTAAAACAAAGTGATTGTGTTTCTTTGTTTAACACTTGGTTACTGGGATTTTTTTTATTTATAATTAACATTTTAAGTATCAATAGTCAATTCTGAAGTCAAATGATTAAGATTAATAAGGAAAATAAGCAGTGTGGGTATTTCTGTGATATTTCTGCATGCCTTAAAGAATAAAGATTCAATTTGAAGTAAGATACGGCAGTAAACGTAGGCATGTATTAGGAGTGCACCGAAAGGTGTCCATGTATCTATGAAGCTAGCGTAGCCAAGTCATAGGGCCGTAATAAAACTTCCACCATATTTTTTTGCTAATTATTTGCTATTTTTTTTACCATAGAATTGTTCCTTATGCGCACGCACGCTTGTTGGCTATGGCAAAAAAATCAATTCTTTCCCAAAAAAAAACAAAAAATTAGGAAAAAATATGGTGTAAGTTTTATTACGGCTCTGTGACTTCGCTACCCTAGCTTAGAGCTTGTTTACCGTGTCAAAATTTGAGTTGAATTGGTGACGAACTTATTGAGTTTTTTAAGCGTACACAAACCAATTTAATATTTTTGTATACATGTATATAGATAATCAAAAACATTAAGAAAAGTTGTAAATTGACACGGTGTAAAACGACACTTGTCTTATATACGAGTACATTTCTTTTTTGACAGAATCACAATTGAAAGTCCCTAAGAAATAAAAAAAATACAAGTGACAAATAGATATCGAGGAAATCGACTGCACGGATGGCGTAGTGGTTTAATCGGTCGCCACGCCGCTTCCTACTACGCTGAGTGTTGTGGGTCCGATCCCCAAATGGGACGACACTTTGTGTCATCCACAAATTGTCGTTCTTAGTCTGGGTGTTCTTTGTGTCCGTTCCATGTTTGTTTGTAAAGTCCCCTGCGATATAGGATATATTCCTAGTGCGGGAGTTCTCTTTTTAGAAATTAAAAAAAATCTCATGGGTTTGCTAACACGAGTTGTTTTTAAAAAAAACGTTAACACGATCTGATCTCTTGCTTCTTCTATCCAAAAAAACAGTTGTATATTGTTTATATAAGGGGCAAATATCATCAAAAAGACCTGTACTTTTGACCATTTGTTTTCGTTTAAACGTGATTATTCTATAGATAATTTAGAGAAATTTAAAGAGTGCAGTAAAGAGCTCCAATTGTGTATACCTTACGAATTGTACTTTCTAATACTTAAAATTTAAAAAAAGCTGTTCTATCAAACTAGATGTCAAGTGGTATTTAGAAATGTAGTAAACGTAAACGTTTTCTTTTTTGGAAATATAGACTATAAAATAGCGTAGATATATCGAATTAAAAAAATATTCTTTGAGATATGCCAATACTATTATATAACTATTATACTATATTATTAAACTATTATATTATATATAACTCAAAAATTTCAGAATAAATATTATACATATATAACTATAATATTACATACATAATACACAAATTCTAAAAACAAATCGAAAGGCTCCTGGAACATGTTTAATGGCAGAACACAGAATTTTCCTCCTGATGCTATAAGTGAATTGGTAATAGATAAACATAAAATTGCTCCTCCGAGCAGGGCGCCTAAAACCGACTGTCGGGGTGGTTTTTAATGGAAACACCACATACTCCTAGCTTCTATGTCCCCGAGGAGCCGAGAAACCCGTCATCAAAAAATGGGGCAAAACTTAGGACTTACTAAACTCTTAAATCGGTAATGGAACTCAGATTACAAATATTGTCAAAATTTGTTTTAGAATAAAATATGAAATAAAAAAAACGAGTGTGCTCAGCACATGACTGAAGTAAAACTTCTTGGAAGAAAAAATAATACGCACCTCCTCTCTTGCCCCTACAGTAATATACGACACGTAACTCTCTCCCTTTCTTTCTTCACTAACTTATATCTCCCTTTCAACTTCCGTTCGCCTCGCCCGATCATGCTTTTCGTAACGCACTCGTGACGCATTCGCCAGTTGCGTAAAGAAGTTTTACTTCAATAAATTATAAGTCTAGGAGTCGAAAAATAAAATATGGAGTTCCACAAGGTAGTGAGTGTATTGAGCCCACTATTTTTTCTTATCTATATCAATGACCTGCCAAAATCCACTACAGATTGTATGGTACTATTTGCTGATGACTGCAGTGTTGTATGCAATGATGAAAATGTTATAAATGGCAGAGAGACGAGAATTTAAAGTTTTTTTGTTTACTGCTACATTGTATTCATTTAGTTACCGTAATCTATATTTCATTAGTTATTTCAAAGCTATTTAAATTGAAATGTCAGACCGGCTATTGTTGTGGCGACGTGTCGCCATGCTGTTTGAAACTTATTTACCAGTAGAGTAAATATTGAATACAACCACGTTTTGCACATTTTCTTATATTACAATAAGTTATAATATTTTTTCAAAATTAATTTTTTCTTAGCTATCCTTTAATACTCATTATTTCTACAAAATAATTTCGATGTTTCACATCTGCCAGACGACCGGCGACTGCCTTATTTTTTATTTAAATTATTTCTATTTCAAACAAATAAAAATTAAACCGTTTGCGATTATGTACAAAGCTTCAGAAACCGAAAACTAACTTCGCGTGAGGTAAACATTACAGCAACATCTCGCGTAGCTTTCAACACCTCTGTTTATTTCGCAATTCAGGAGAGTTTATAAGCAAGGATTTATTTTAGGTCGTCTGCAATTCAGTTTGTTTTGCTTTTATCCAGAGGGTGGTGCGCCGGCGCTGATCTAACATTAGCCCGCCCTACATTCCGTAGGCTCGTATAGCGATTACATTTGACCCGATTTCGACACGAGCCCTGTGAGAGATTATAGGTATTATTGGATCGGTACCAATATTCCTGTAGAGCACGCATTCAGGTAGAATTGATGTTTCAAAGTAGTAAATAAATTTAAATTAAGGTAGTTATATCGAATAATTACTT